AACAAGTCATTGTACTTGAAAAAAATTTCGTTTCCTGTTCAGTTTTATTAACTTTTTCTTTATTTAATACTTCATAATTAAGTTTTACGTATTTTTATACTTTGCTTATGAACAAAAATAATTTATATGGATAAATACGTTTAACGAGTTGAGCATTTAACGTGTAAACAAATAAAATGAGTTCTCTCTCTCCATACTAATTCAGACAATGAGTAATTTGTCCTTTTCCCCTGAGCCGGCATTCTGTCCCTTTTGAGTACGTAAAGAGCTTTGTGTTTAGGCGCACGTGTTTTGTTTTACCCTCAAAACATTTTCCCCTTTTGTGTCCGAAAAAAAAACATGTGCGGAATGGCGCAGACATATTGTGTGTGTCAGCCTCACTGAGGTCTGTGATATTTTTTACTGTGTTACCTTTGAAAATAGGTCAAAGCGACCACGATAATTATAACTTTCTTTTTTTTGCGTCATGCAAAATATACATGTTCTTTTACTTTAAAAATTACGCATTTATGATTAATAATGTAAGAAAATTAATGAAAATGCAAAAAGAAGTTATTCTAATGAAACAATTTAATATTAGATTAGGTTAATTCTTATAATCCTTTACATTCGTCATTTACTATACAAAGACCTTTATAATCTTGTTAAGTTAATAGAGGTAATATGTAGGTTCTTATTGTTGTTTATTTAATTATTTTTCTCAGTTGCATGACAATTTATATAATTTACACTTTAATGACAACTGGAAAATTTAAACTGAATGCTATTAGCTTAATTAATGATTTCTTTTATAATAGAACAATCAAACCTCATAATCATTATCATGTGTGTGCGCAAAAAGATAAAAATCAATTATCTGAAAATAAGGCGACAAAATCATTGAGCACAATAATTGTGCGCCAAAATAATATATTTGAGGTAGATTTGTGTGCGAAGTTAACGCTAATGGAAATTTAACGATCCCTCGAAACGCCTTTCGGGCTCATTATCGCACCAGAGAACTTCCAACGCAGATGTAACGATATAACGCTTTTTCTAACCTTCACCTGATTCTATGGATTTAAAGTAAAAAACTAATTTCAATAATTACGAAATTGCTGCAGAAATACGAAAATTTTCGATATAAAAGTATTGAATTATGATGAACGTAAAAGCTCGTATAGGAAATATTGTAACTAAAACATGTTTAGCATCAAAATCCTGAATAAAATATATTTTATACGCACCAATGTATATTTGCCCTCCTTGTTTGTATAAATGCATCTTTTTACTTTATAAATATTGCTACTGACTGCGCATGCTTCAACCCCGCAAGACGCTGCGTGCAAACCCCACGGTTGTCATGGCAACGCCTTTTAAGCAGCGCCCTCGTGACGTCTTACGTGAATCACTTCCGCGTCCTGCAGTTCCTTGTAGTTCTTAAGATTGCCGCTAGATGGTATTTTCTTATATCTCAAGAAAAACTAAAAGCTATTCGTTCAGAGTAGATCTTTTCTTTTCTAATTTAAAAATTAAAATTAAATTATAATGAATGTATTATTAAAGTAAATTGAAACAATTATATATTTTGTTGATTACGATGTATTAGTTTAACGTGTGTCGTAATTTAACAAAAGCATTTACAAAACATGTCACGATATATATGTTTAATATTCATCTTGTTCATGAACAATAGGGAAGTTTTCAAACGGTTTAGCATAACATGTTCCGCAAACTAACATCCTTGTAAGGGATTAAATGTATGCGGACACTTAAAGGATACTTACGGTCCACATTGTCAATGTCTGTCACATTGGATTATCTCATAAATTATGTATGTCGAGATTTATCGTCTTAACATCGAAATCCGAAACTGGAATCTTAAAAGTATAAAATAAGTTATTTTTGAGATAAATGTTTACAATAATCGTACTCTGTATTTTCGATTTTCTTTTGTTGAGCGCCATCTTACGATATCCATGAGAACCCCTTGATCCTGATGTCTTTATAGTAGTTTAGTAAAAAGCCGCGATGGCGCTGCGTATTGCTTTTTGCAAATAGGATGCAGGCTGTTCTAGAATTCTTTAAAACATAAATTAAGACGAGAGAATTAATAAGTTCTTAGAGAAATTATTGCACTTGAGGCACATCCTTGACTAAATTTAAGCTTTGTGTTTTTAATTTAAATAAATTGTTCTTTTTTAATTTCTAGAATACGTGCAAGTGATCGAAATTAAAGATTTCAATACATTGTAGAATTGTAGATTAATTATTCAAATTTTTCTATGAATACTTTTTTAACTTCATCTCAGAGTTTTGTTGTATAACTTATTAACGATCTAATGGTTGGTTTCTAACACCAAAATATTTTTATAAAACATTTCGGCATCCTTGTCTAAAAATAACAGAGAAAACAATAGGTTTTAAACTATAATTTTGATATAAACCCTCGTAAGTCCTGCGAGTTACTAATTATAACATAGAAGAAGAATACATCGAAAAGTATGTTATAGCTATAAAATATTAAACAAAATAAGTTTTCAATACTTTAAGCACAAAATATTAAATTATATGATGGCAATTACCACAACATTCTTAAGGAAGAGATAAGATGGCCCTTCTCTCACTTCCATACATCCATAAATGCGGTTTAATATAATGTTCACACTTCGCACGCATAAACACGCGGTTTAGTCCTAAACTTACACCCTTGTAAGATTAAGGGTTGTACAGAAACTTGAACACCCCCAAAGGCCAGAGTTACGATTTGATTTGGACGGGCGTGTTGTGTTGCGAATATATAACAACCAATACAAAGTTAGGGGTAGTTAGATTTTATGTGAAATTATATCCAATTTAGATAAAATATTATGCGATTACTTTTACACGTATTGGCTGAAAAGAAATATTATTTTTTTCACTTGCGCCTACTTTCTCAAATCGAGTTATACGACTAACTGTAGTGCCAATGAAAGAAAACAAATAAGTTCATAATAGCTATAGAAACTAGGAAAAAGTAAATGTTTCACCTAGACTTAGATTATTAAGATAATAAACAAGAGAAAGTTTGGGTTTAACATGAAGCAATGCAATATGTTGTCCGATATATTGAATATCTACCTTTTACCCGATACTCCGTTAGTGCGTTATTAAAAAAGCTATGCCAAATTAAGTAATTAGTAATTCATCCATTCGCATTTATAATAAAATTATACTTGAGAATTACACACACAAAGAGGGTTCAATTATGAAATGTACCTTAATTATACTTACATGTATCGTTTTGTTACAGATTTAATAAGTACAGCGTCGCGGAGAGAGCAGCAACATGGCAGCGTTCGTGGCTAAGCAGATGGTCGGCAACAAGCTCAGCGCCGTTAAAGGTCAAATATCTTTTATCTTTCCTTTATCTCTTATCTTGTCTCTTACCGAAACTATATCATCGGATGTAATATACCCAAAAGAGTAATATTAAATTTTATTTGAATGAACATTGGGTTAGAAAATCTTCACTTTTAAAGGCGAAATTGCACAAATAAGCAAATTCAGCTAGCTTACTTTTTATAAAAAACGTAAAAATTACTTACTGAATTACTTATTTAAAAAGTATTTAAAATTAAGAATATAATACTAAAAATAAACAATAAAAAATGTTCAGCGATCATTCAAAGATAATTGATAAAAATAAGCCGCTTAGAGAAGTAGAGCGGCGCGCCGCAGCGGAGAGAAGCGAATCCTAGGGAATTAACTCGCCCCGGGGGAAATCAGCCGCTAAACGTCCGTCGTACTTATTTATTGTACATCTCACTCAGATTACCACTTAATGAGATGCTATCTCACTAAACATAATGCCTCCCATCGTCAGGACATCTTATATTCTCTGATAAAGCATTATTAATACCTTTGTAAAGTAAATCTTGCAAAGATATAAGGAAATATTCTTTTGGATATTTGTATTTTGATCTAAAGTATAAAGTACTTGGAACGTTCTTCTGTTCGCTTTTTATTAATCTAGCTGTCGCCCGCGACCCCGTCTTCGCGGAATTAAAAAAATAGCCTGTGTGTTCTTCCAGACTGTTTTCTATACATATGCTAAATTTCATCGAGATCCGTTGAGCCGTTCTGGAGGTGCCTTCTAACAAGCATCCATTCATGTACACTTTTGCATCTATAATATTAGTATAATAAGATTATATTAAACCATGAACCGAATACTTTACCTCATTTTTAGGAAAATTGGAATTGGAACATTAGAATGAATGTTTTTGATACAATTATAGTTAAGATGATGTAAGGCAGAAAATCATTTTTTCTTAATTCATTGATTTTGACCAATTGACGACTAATAAATCTCCAATGTAATAACGTACTAAACTAAGCCGTTTCTAAAATACACGTTGTCATAAACTATATATTTACACTATTACGGATCTAAAAGTAATCCTGAAAATAATGTATATCTTCAACTTAACTTTGCCGTTACCTTTTCACATTATAACAATATTCCTTCGGAAAAATATCTTCATTTCGTTAACGTACCGAGAAATTGTCAGCTCACAATATTGCGAAGTCTGTATCTCCAGACATTGGCCAAATAAGAAAAGATCACGCAAAGACTCCGCCCAGATATCCACTCAGGTGTTTTAAATGAAGCGTTGCGATCGTTGTATCTTCTTACTGTTCAAGCTAAGTCTTATACTTCTATGAAAAGTTTAATAATAAGTAAATAACAATTTTAAGTATATTTTTTATTTATTATCACAAATATATTGAACATACGAATATGTATGATTTTATTTGAACTTCTTCGAATTCTCATCAAAATATCAGCTGTAAATAAACCTACACTACATATAGAATATATTTAATTTCTTTCTACATTGCATCACATATTAAAGCTTTATTTAATTGCCATAATTGTTCCTCACAAGTAATTAACTTCGATTACTTAATCTTTTATATCATAAATATTCAAAAGGAAGACATTACTATAATAACTTACACTAAAGGAAGACAATCTTATCTAATAAGTCCTAAAATATTTATAACCTAATACTGATTACAATAATTTAAAAAGTAACAATTACGAAGTTTTTCAGTCTCCGCAATCCATAGAATACTCTTTGTTATGAAATAAACTGATCAGTACTCTCTTTCTCATTCCTTCCTTCACTTCCGGACTATAGCCGTCTCCCTCGTACTCCTTAACATACACTCTTTTTATCTTCTCATCGGAGTCCGGTATCAGCTTTCTCTTTCTCACTCTCTTGCTTCTGTCCACTTCATCTCTAGAGACCAATCGCTTTGGACTATACTCTTGTGCTGGTGAATGGAACAATTTCTTTATAACTGGTTGGAGACTTGTGGGTTTTCTGATCGGTGAATCAGAGTCCATCTGAAAATTAGATATCATTGTAGAAGAAGAAACAAAGAAACATCTCTTTAAATCCTATAGTTGGATCTAAAAGCCGTCTGTTTCTGTTTTAACTTTTTAGTCGACAAAAAAGTTGCATTGTCAACTTTTAAAAGATCATTTGATAGTTTTATGTTTACTGTTAATCCTTTTTAAACTATTCTTAGAAGCTAAATAAGCAATTAAACTAAAAAAAAAACTAGTAATATAAGATAAAATGTAAATAACATATTTTTTCTCACGTTTCTGTAAAAGTGTACAGGTAGTAAAGGATGGGATGTCTTTTCAAACGCACAACAGGTAGGGATGTGCTTTCAATAAATACCTTTTTGTAACATAAAAAGCTTTAAGAAGTTTGTCGATAAGGTATATAAAATAGTTTCAAGGTTTTTATAACACAAAAAATTACTTTTACATCAGTAAAACTAGAAATAGTTGAGAAAATAACGGAATATAAATAAAAGAAAACCGTAAAAGAGAAATGTTCTATCGTTTATCAATAATGTATAAAGACAGTCAAATAAAACGTACCTTGATACATTTAAAGTGTAACTAAAATAAAACAAAACCATAAGTACTAATAAATGACTAGCTTTCTCCCGCGACTTCGTCCGCACGGAATAAATAAAAACTACTGGTCGCACCGTAATGTTATAAAGCCTAAAATCTACCCCTATAAATGGACTATACTACTACTACTACACTACTACGACTACAAAAAATAATTTTTCAAATTGGACCAGTAGTTCCTGAGATTAGCGCGTTTAAACAAACTCTTCCTCTTTATAATATTAGTATAGATTGTAAGCAAAATAAAAATACGAGTTCATTGTTTTAAAGTATTTTTAGTTCATTGTTAAATTAATTTAGCCGCTTTTCATGATCGTTTTACTGAAAACTTTATTAATCTAAAGAGATTACTGTACATTGACCATACCATCATATAAAAAATTATGAACAGGTACCTAATAATATGTGGTTTAAAAGAGGATGTGAGTTGGGTTGAAAAAGGCCTGCTTAGATGGTTTGGACATGTTCAAAAGATGGGCATTAACAAAGGGAATTTATGGTGCGAAAGTATGCGGCTGTGTTTGTCGGGGCCGTCTCAAATGGACGTACATCGTCCAGATTGAAATACTCAAGAAGGCCCTTATTAAGAGCACCCGAAACCGATGTGCAAGCGTTGAAGTCCGTGGTATTTGCCTACCTCATTGGGTTCCGGGCGTGAGTAATTTCTTGTTTTAATAATATGAAGTAAACATTACCTTAATATTAACTTAATACATATTTTGCCGATTTTTAACCGCAGAATTGTTCCTATAAAATAAATTATTTAAAACAGTTCAGAGAGAGATAAAAATTTGCTTCACTAGCGGCACTCTTCGGTGCGTAGGTATCCCACAATCAAACAAACCACACTTAAATAAGTATAGTAGTTTTCAAGTATCTTGGCGGCTCGTAACTTAGTGCGAGTTGCTGCGCAGTACACATTTTTTGGTGGAGCGGGGCGTAACGGGATGCGGGAGAGAGCTGCGCGCGGATGACAGAGCCGCTAAAATATTTGAAAAGGTATATGCATAAAAAAAAATAAGCTTACCAAATCAGAATCAGGTATAAATTCCACGGATGTATTAAGCACATTATTTCTAAGAAGCAAGATGATGTTCTTCCTGTCGACAGTATTAACAGGCGTGGTATATGCACTTGTGGCCGCCATCTTGTTATCACTCCCGAGACTCGCACTGACACGTCTGTACAGGACGAGACGCGTCCGAAGACTGAATTTAGAATGAATAACAAGTGCATAATCTATGCAAGTTTTGTATTTTGTATGCGTCGGCGTCCGTGACTGTAGGATTATAAAAAATGTTCTCACCCTTTTCTTTCGTTCTGAACAAACTGAGACAACAATATGTTTTTAGACAGCGTTTTTGTAAAGTGGAAACTCTTAGTGATTATGACGCAGTAGACAGCACGATGAATGCTCTTTTTAATTTATTACAGCATCTTTTAAGGAATTTAAAGTTCTTATGACTTTATAGGAAAATAAAAAAATGTATGGAAAAATATTAATTTTATTTATTATTTATTTGTGAATTGTAAATTTCATATAATTTCATTTTGAATTATTGTTCTCTTATAAAAGAGAAGTTATAAACTGAAAAAGAAAAATCTTTAACAAGTTTACAATGTTTTAATATTTACGTACCAATATATTTTATTATAGTATATAATATTTATATAAATTTGATTTTGAGTAATGCTTTTTATATTAACATATAAATTTTTTTAATTTAATTTCGTAACACATATTTATAATTCAAGACAATGTAAGCAACGTTAATCATAATGTAAATGTAATAGTAATTATCGTAAAATATAATTTTAAATTATTGTATTAATTCTAAATTCAAATACACTATGAAGTAACGTATTAACTTTAGTACGGTACAATCGTAATATTTAATAGAAAAGTTACGAAAATACGCGTTATTTCGTTAATTAATATAAGTCAACCACATCCTAAATTAATATAAAAAAATTTGATAATTTTGTGCTGAAAAAAAAATGATAACGGAATGAAGTCAAAATATGAATTAACCCAAAATACATAAATAATGTAAATAAAGTTATATAACGAGTAAATTTAATTATCAAGTCTAGATATAAATGTATTCACTTAGTCTTGTCATATTTTTCTTGCTTTCATAAAATCTTCTCTTATAATAAGATTTGAATCTGAAAAATTTTTATTTCTTAGTTTCAAATGTTTATCGTAATAACAAAATTTATCAAAAAAATCATATGATGTACCATACGAGTTCTTTTTCTCTTTATTTTCATATTTGTTATTGTCAATTTTAACTTTATTGATTTTGACGTCAAATATTTTGTTAGATTTATTCTTGCTTTCATTGGTATTGTTTTTATCAACTGTAGTAATAAGCGAATTAGTTTTCTTTAGAATTAAAGACTTGAACACTGTAGTGTTATCGTGTGTTTCCTCTTCAATGGATTTTTTATCCCCATCTTCATTACTTTCATAATTTCTTGTCATTAATTCTAAAGTATTTACATAATTCGCCTCCAGTTCTATCTCAGATGTTATTATCTTTCTCTTTATATAAAACGCAATATTCCCCACGGTGTTTGTAAGACCACATCTTTGTGTGTGTTCTTTAAATTCTTTAAGAAATACTTTTAAAGATTTCATATTTTGTTTACAATAATCCCTAATCATAATACTTGCTTCGAGTATTTCAGCTTTAGAAGTACCTGAACTTTGTATTTTCTGCTTTATGTTTTGTTTTTTGTTACTATTATGTTTGTTTGTTTCTTGATTTGTCGTCTGTTTGATTTGTTGTGTTGCTGCAGGATATAAAGTTGGAAAGTTTTTCATTAAGTAAGATGACACCGGAGGTCGGCTCGTGAACAGATCGAGCTCGTGCTGTCGGCTCGCTGCTCGGCTCTCTTCCGACAGTGTGTCTTCCTGGAAATAAATATTTAAGTTTTATTAATCAAACATTAGTAACGTTGTCTGCTATCAGTAACTTTTGTTGTCATCTACAGTTTCATGCATTGTATCCGATTCAATCTACTACTATCGTTAACAAATGAAAACTTTCATAGTAAGTGTTACTTACGAAAGCTTCAAGGTAATGATAGTAGTTACAGACTTGTTGGAACTTGTTCCTCTGACCGCAGTACATCCACACAGCGAAGGCACGACGCACTGTGGTACTGCTATATGGTATGGATTGCGGCTCAAGTAAACTGTGCTCCTCATTGTCGTACTCCAGTGATGGTAGTTGCTTATCCATACCTGAGAATGTAGGAAATCTTACTAATATTATAAACGCAAATTTTAGGAAAGATCAAAAGATCCATCCATCCATTATGTTTCTTAGAAGGTATCTTAAAAACTGCTGCGTGGTTCTTGCTAAAATTTGACAAAGATGTGACACATCACCTGGAATTACACATAGTCTACTAATAAACATTTTTTTAAATCCACACGATTGCTAGTATTATTATAAATGGAAAATCCGTACCACTTCTTTTAAGTAGTTACTTTTTTATTTCAAGTATTTCATAGAATTGTTAAATTAAACAAAAATACTTGTTTACGGAAATTACAAAACACATTAGTATACGTAATTTTTTTTATCCGGCAAAGGAATAGATACAGTTGTGTCATAAAAAGTTCACACAAATATATTAGCTTTGAAATGTATTCGTTATGAATTATAACTCACCTACACACTGTACTGTACACGTCTTTATGTTCTACTTTAATGTAACTACACATATACAATATATTATAACCACTATAATGACTCGTGTCATTAATTAATATTAATATGTTAACATGAAGACTCGCGTGAGCAGACCGCACTAAAGTGAACAACTGAAAAATATCAATTTACCCTCGAACACTTGACGGCTCAATATCTGAAACTTCGCATGAATTTCAAATAATCAAGAAAAGAGTATTTAAATGGCAACATTTTAAAAAATATAGTAAATATTTCATTCGTTTCTGTTAAAGATTTTATTTTTAAAAGTTGTGTAAAATACATTTCAATATACTTTTAAGTGTAATAAAATTTGTAATTTACTTATCGGTTTTTATTAACCTGTTAAGATGTATTAGCGGAATGGTTGGTGAAGAAATATAAACACAAAATTTATAAATCTTTTTATTTTTACCATAATCAGTCATTTTGTATGTATAATATAAAATCTTAAGATTAATACATTTTAAAATACTTAAATTATTATATTTAATGTAGGTCAGAGATGTGTTAATCTTTTAAAACTGAAAACCTTTTTTTTTCTCTTTGGGAACAATTCTTTATTTAACAATTTTCATTCCTAAATTAAAAATAATTACAATTCACATAAATTGGACTTTTGATATTTAATAGTTTAATAAAGAAATTAAAAATTGATACAAGAATAAGCATCTTGTGTTTTTACATTTATTTAGGTTTCTTATTAAAATTTAAGATTATTATTAACATTTTAAAAAATAATATTAATTAAGTTACATTTACTTGTAAACAATTTTACTAAAGTTACTTAACACTTTATAATCTTAGGTTTCTTATCACATTTCTCATTGAGAAAATTACATTTACAATCAAAACCGGTTAAAACGACATCATAGTGACCGGCAACATACAGTTGTTATAATCAACATTTATTACAGATATTGTAATATTTATAAAGCATATAAATTAAGCTGTTACGTATAGTTTTTGTTGCAAAATATTTCGTTCAATCAATGTTGTGTTAAACGGTTTTAAGTGTATATAAAAATAATTATAAATTGCAAACAAATTTAATTGTTTCAAGGTAATTAGAAATAAGCATATTCACGGCTTGTATTTGGAGATTGTGTTAGTTGATCAAAAGACAGTTTGGTTGGTTTCAAGGCAGATTTGGTTTCCTTAAAGCTTTTGAAGAAAGCATCAACAGTTAATTTACTATCCCTGTTCATATTAGTTTTACTAATGTTTGTCTTCATAATGAAGTCTAAATTGTATGAGTTATCAGCGAATTGTAAACAAAATTCTTTTCCGGGCGAATCCATGTTTATTGATTTGATATTGGATGGTGTCTTTATGTTTTCGGATTTCTTGTAAGCAGTGGAAGGGTTAAGTTGATTAAGTGAACCCATTTGCAGCCAAGATTGTACGTCATATTTGTATTCTTCTGCAGGCAAGGGTTTTGGGTTTTCCCACTTTGGTTTAGGCAGTAGATCAGCCCCTGGTGGTATATTAGACTGTTGATCGTTTCCTTTATGTTCTGTGTCTGAGAAACATTCTGTTTCAATATAGATGGCGCTGTCTTTCAGTTCGCAGGCTTCTATCAAGGCTATTAGTTCACGTCTTGTTTCCTGAAGATTTAGCTCCTGGAAATTAAGAATACGTCATTTAATATTGATGGCAAATTACGATATGTTGGATTATTACAAATAATTTGAATGTAACTATTATTTAAATTAATTTTATTAAGCTTCGAAATAATATGATTAAACCGCTTTTTTAGCAAAATATATAAAATGTCGAAATTAACAGAACTTTTTAAATTATTTTAATTTCAAAGTAAAATGTTCGAAAAGTCATTCAAGATTAAATTCATTTGACACTATAATTAAACTGGCAGCAAAATATAGTTTAGTTTTAGTACTGTTAAACAAATAATATACAATTCTTAGAAACTTGTAAAATGTATTCACTTCTTAGAAAGATATTCCTTTTGAATCTTATAATTAATAGCAATGATTCGAATCAGTTGAGAAACACATACACAAATCATAGACGCACACAATTAAAAAAATCTAATATTTAACTTTTACAACTTACTAATTGAAAATAACTGTCACTGTAGTAAAAATCACTCATGATGCTCACACCCGACGTGGAAACAATAATTAATAATCTAGATTATATTAAGTAATAATTTCTAGACTTTGTTTAATGTTAACATTATAATAACTTAGGTGTATGGAGGCGGCAACCGCACTGACATTCATCGCCCCACTGTCACAAATCCCTTGAAAACTACCCGAAAAAACTAGTTTGGCCAAAATGCAAACTGTACCTGATATATTAATATGTAATTTTAGCATCTATTCCTAATTACGTACGGGTGAATTTACTGTGAAACATATCTGTCCTTTCTTATCTGTGCAATAAACATTAACAATTGTTTTTAAACATCTTTTGTTGACTTTCAACGTAATTACAAGAAAGAGATGACTAAAATTACAAACTAGAAATTAAGTTCTAAGAATAAATATTACAAATATTCATTAGCTAATTGAATATTTACAAAGTAATAAGTAACGAGGTTATTAGCGATATGGCCAATTTGTTAAGTAACTAAATGTACATTTAAAAATTTTTTTGAATAGATCTTTGTCTAGTCTATCTCATAAAATGTTAATATTTTTATTTTCAGATTTTTTAAAATAAACTTTCGTATTTATAATAACTTACGACTTACACAATGTATTAACATACATCCTATCACTCCTTGTCGTGTGCTTTCATGAGATAAACTATATTCCAAAAGGAGAAATTTCAATGTATTTTTCCAGTATTTACTACGCGCACATTTCTGACTGCAGTCACGTGTAAACTGTTTTATTTTATTTACAAAATTCCCGTCAAAAGCGACATGTGTTCATAAATTCCAATATCACCATAGAAATATTTTTTCAAAAAAATGCTTTTGCGATGAAATATAACCAAATAAAGATATGAAGTTATATTAGTTCTATTTTGACGTCTGGTATACAAGACACAACGGACGGATTCCAAAGACTTCGAACAAATCTTACTTCTTACTATATTTTACTAATATAGATGTGAATGTTTGGATGGATGGATGTTAGTACGTATCTCCAGAACGGACGCATGAATCTAGCTGAAATTTGGCATATATCGACATAGTCTGGACGAACTTACTAACTAAGAAGTTACGAACTTAAGCTTGTTTTTTTTAAATCCCGCGCTAACGGAGTCGTCGGCATCCACTAGTAAATCAATAACAAACAACTTTCTAAAAACCAAAGCAATAATGTACATTTTTATGATTTCAAATTAGGCATTGAATAAATAACTGTAAATGACTAACTTGTGCATTATTTTTGTTACAGGTAAGGACCGGATTAGTTTACTGCGGGTTATTTTTTACCCAGGTGTTATGTATGTACAACAGTATGATGTTTTTTTTCAAGTTGCAATAAAGTTTTGTTGTAATGCAAAATGTCAATTCCAATTTCATGTTCAATTACGCTCGAAAAGGAATTGGATCTCGTATCGTGACAAAATTATCCTAATTTCGTATCCCTCGTACACACCCGCCTCGTATGTCTTCACGTAATTCAAGAGATGTGACATGAATGTATCGATATTTCTAAATCGGTTAAAATTTTTAAATTGCTTTAAAATAACAATTCTATTTTGTTTCTATTTTGTATGTTGTACATTTTAATCAAATTAACACTAAATTGTTTGAGCTTCATATTCGTTACTACAGTTTGCAATGATGCAAAAGAATAAAACCATGTCCTATATTCTTCTTACATTTTGTTCAAAAATTAAAACATAATTTCAAATTTAGCCGAACATAATGAAAGTTCTATCAAAAAATTCCACTTTATTACGTTAAAATTTCCTGCCTTAAAAGCTCACGTTCGTCGATAATTTCGATGTGGAACCGACCTACTTCCATCGACCATTAAATTCCCCGCGGCTCATTGTTCTAAAGATCGCACCATTCAATACCTATCTATGCGGGAAAGAATCCGGCAGCGCTCAATATGCGGTCGCAGCACGACAAATATTGGAGGGGCGAAGCGGCCCGCTATGCCAGGAATTTCACTGGCTTTAACGCTTCAATTTAAGGACGTGCGCCGGTTATCGATATGTCGATGTCGAGCGCCGCACGTGACTATTAGACTCTGCTAATGGCGTTAACGATCATTTGTTGTGTAAATGTCGAATGTGTGTAATGTATATTGCTTATTACATGCAGATGATATGGAGCCTGTAAGGAAGCTATGGCCGTTTAAATAAAAGTTAAGTCTGTATATTGATTAAACATTAAAATTCAAGAATTATTTATATTATAAAGCTAATAATTGATTTTATTCTATCCCATATACAATTTAATATTGATCCTAATTAATATTCTACAAGGACTAGATCCATTAATTGATATAATTAAGTTACACATAATCCAATTCTAAGCCTTTATTATCAGGATTATATCTCGATACTACGAGATATTTCAAATAATATCGAGGTCAAATAGACTCAACCCGAGGGTGTGTCGGAGTGCGAGGGAAGTACGCGGAGGGTAAGGGGTGACATTCCTGCACGTCTACGATCTGGCCTCCGAGAGGACGCTTCATGAAATCCTATGAAGTATAAAGCCGACAGAAAACTATTTCACTATTTTAACAAATAGAGAAACTATCTTTATAAAGCCAGTATTTTTATGTTGTCACTGATATTCCTTGTTTTCTTTAGATTCAATTTTTTGCAAGTACTCCGTTGTTCACAGTCTAGCTTATTTTATTGACAAGATTCTGAATTTTAAAGTTCAAATGTCTTATTAATATTTTTTAGGTTACATATAAGTACTTTGTAATAAAATATACAATCATAAATAGCTTGTCATCACGTTTAAGTAAAAATCATTACGTTATCGATATCGATAGTTGCATAGCGCGTCCCTGGCGCGTGAGGGACTACGTGACGTCACCATGGATACAGCGGTGGCGTTCGACCAGCAACGCCGTCAGCGGGGTGCCACGCAGACCGTCGTCGTCTCTATGGCGGGCTACATTATTCTATTTTTACTAATATTATTTATAATATATAAAAACTTCTTCTGAATTAAATTTAGTATATAAACTTCTTGTCTATCTTGTCAATGACACAACATTTTTGCTATTTGAGTATTGATAGAATTGGATAAAACATAATGGTGAAACAATTGCGACACTCGGCCGGATAACCGAGCGCGGTAAATCAGCATATCCGGCACATATCCGCGTCGTATACGATATTATCCATTCGCAAAGTGTGAATTATACGCGCTATATCCACCGTAAGCCCGTTTTACGACCTTAGGATTGGTTGCGTATAAATGTTTATATCGCGTCGGATATCACCGGATATCGGATACGAGGACGATGTCGGATGTATTGAGATACTTTTCGATACCGTTTCTTATTCCCTTTCAATATAACTCTCAATGAATTGTAATGGCTGAGCTTTTCACAACTGAATACAAAGTTATTGTCGAGTACAGCCCATGATAGAAATAGTCGAATAGTCTAACTTATGATTTTATACTTCCACTAGCTGTCGCCTGCGACTTCGTCCGCGCGGGATTAAACAAAAACTTAATAAATAGGATATGTGTTCTTCCTGAGTATAGTCCTACATCTATGCCAAATTTCAGAGAGATCCATGCAGCCGTTCTGGAGATACCTTCCAGCAAACACCCGTCCATACATGCAAACATACGCATTTATAAAATAAGTATTTTTGTTTGGATTCAAACTGTTTGCTTAGCTTTTAAAACTTAAAATTATCTATTGTCATACTAAATTATAGCATAATTAACTTCACAAAATAAAGTTTTAACACATCATTTCGCCTCAGCTGGTTTCACAATCGTTCAATTCTTTTTCTTTGAATGCGTTAAAGAAAATCTATTGTCTCTGCTGGTCCAATTTTCCTTCGGATTGGGGTTAAGCGCTCGTCATTATGAAACAATTGCATTCCCGGGGGCTGCGAGCATTTGCATTTCACACCCCATTTGACGGCGCGACGCCTAGCTCGGGGGTAGACCGATTGATAACAACTTTTATCGCCTGTTAAAGAATTGTTCGCGGATTTGTAACAGATTTTTTATTTCTTCCAATTGCATACAATGAAATTGCAAGTTTAACTTACGCATGAGTTCAAAATATGTGTAATTTTTGATAGACAACACATCAAAACAAGGCATTAGTTATTTGTGTGGAATGGAACTCAATTGACATACTATTTTGCAAAGTACATAGATAAAATTGAAAAATATTGTTCGTTTCTAAAATATTAAATAATTTCTGTGATTATACGTAACGCGTCTATCTGTATGCCAATTATACGTGTAGTTTATCCGGTCATTAAACTGTCAAATAACAAAAAAATGGACAGTTATTTTGTTTGTAATATAATAAATTGGACAACGAATGAAAATTAATATAATTTCACCGATGAACAAGTGACCGTCTGTTGTTCATAAATACTGTATTTAATACGCGACAAAGCGTTAAATACAACGCACACATTCGTATAGGGCTGAACCTCACAAGATTTATTTTAAAGGGAATTGAATTTTATATTTATTGAAAATACTATTTCAGGTGTTTTCTGCTTTAGCAACGCCTTTCCATATTAAACGTAACATATTTTAACATAGTACGACCAACCAGTAGGCCCGTTCTTTAAATTTATTCACACTCTTAATACTATTTAGTTCGTATTACAAGTGCTTCCCCAACATCAGCGAGGTGACAGCCCTGGTGTCAGCGAAGCGCGTCGTCTGTTCGCGGACGATATCTCGCGTGGCCGCCTCACTGCCTTGTTATTTATGTAGCGACACTTCAGCCGCCCGAATAACACTGTTACTTCAAACTTTTTTATACGACGTACACAGATCTATGTCTAGCAACAAAACTGTGACATTAACTTTAAAAGTATTGACTAAAATCAACGAGTCAGCACAATTGAAAGGGTATTTCATTTCTTAATTATATTATATTAAACAATCTTCTTGAGGTGTTAGATTGAACATATTATGTGAAACAAAATATCAAAACAGAGATTCGCACAGTTAAAATGTCAAGCCAGAACCCAAACGTACATTGAACGAGCAAACAATGGCGGCACTCAGAGAGATATGAATATCAAGGGAAAGAGGCCAATTATGTGGGCAAAGAGGCTCCGCGGGCGCGTCAAACGCA